CTCAAGCGCCCCCTCCTATTCAAGCGCCCCCTCCTGTTCAAGCGCCCCCTTCTGTTCAAGCGCCCCTACCCACCCAATCGCCCACACCCGCTCAAGCGCCCTCTCCTCACTTTTTAATTTTGCCAGAGCGCGTATCAGAGCTGGAACATATCTGACGAAAAACGGAGCTAAGGTGGTGTTCGGTCAGAAAGCCCTCTACAAGCCCCCTGCTTTTAACATAAGTTAGTTACACTTGATTTGGTCGGACTAATGACTTAATGACATGCACCACACCTAAGTCGCCATGACCTTTCGTGAACAAAGCAGTAAGCTGAACTTTTCGCCACGTTTGTATTTGAACTGTCTCTGTGCAGTGGCCTAGCAGGGGTTAGTGCCGCCTAGGGCGGGCCAAGACTTTTCCAACCCCCTTCCACGAACATCTCTGTATTAGGGCCAAAAATGCCGCCACTACTTATAAAGAACAAAAATAATGAGACCTATTTGAAAGTGTCGTTGATAATCGCTGTGGTGCCAAGTCTGGCACGCGTGTCACATGCTACCGACCCCTAAGGTACGCTATGAAAGAAGCTATTGTAGTAAACTGGAACACAATGTGTTGTCATGATCGCGTGACCGTTGACTTACTCACCACGCAAACATCATTTGTTTTCTCTAACTGGCCGGACTTGTCAAAATAACTCGGTATATCCGGTCTTGTATCATATATGGCTGTTTAGGTAACCTGCTTTGGGATGGTGTTTGTTTAAATAGTCTGCCATGGGATGGTGTTTGTTTAAATAGTCTGCCATGGGATGGTGTTTGTTTAAATAGTCTGCCATGGGATGGTGTTTGTTTAAATAGTCTGCCATGGGATGGTGTTTGTTTAGATAGTCTGCCATGGGAAGGTGTTTTTGGACAGTCTGCCATGGGATAGTGTTTGTTTGTTTAGACAGTCTGCCATGGGAAGGTGTTTGCTTGGACAGTCTGCCATGGGAAGTTGTTTTTGGACAGTCTGCCATGGGATAGTGTTTGTTTGTTTAGACAGTCTGCCATGGGAAGGTGTTTGTTTGGACAGTCTGCCATGGGATGGTGTTTGTTTGGACAGTCTGCCATGGGAGGGTGTTTGTTTAGACAGTCTGCCATGGAATGGTGTTTGTTTGGACAGTCTGCCATGGAATGGTGTTTGTTTGGTCAGTCTGCCATGGAATGGTGTTTGTTTAGACAGTCTGCCATGGGATGGTGTTTGTTTCGACAGTCTGCCATGGGATGGTGTTTGTTTAGACAGTCTGCCATGGGATGGTGTTTGTTTAGACAGTCTGCCATGGGATGGTGTTTGTTTAGACAGTCTGCCATGGGATGGTGTTTGTTTAGACAGTCTGCCATGGGATGGTGTTTGTTTGTTTAGACAGTCTGCCATGGGATGGTGTTTGTTTAGACAGTCTGCCATGGGATGGTGTTTGTTTAGACAGTCTGCCATGGGATGGTGTTTGTTTGTTTAGACAGTCTGCCATGGGATGGTGTTTGTTTAGACAGTCTGCCATGGGATGGTGTTTGTTTAGACAGTCTGCCATGGGATGGTGTTTGTTTGTTTAGACAGTCTGCCATGGGATGGTGTTTGTTTAGACAGTCTGCCATGGGATGGTGTTTGTTTAGACAGTCTGCCATGGAATGGTGTTTGAAGTGTAAATATTTCAGACATTCCAAAGAACAGGACATACATGCCTAGATTGATGTCTATAAACAGATGAACAATTGTTTCAGGATATTAAAAACAGAGAGATGAATAGCTATTAGTTAAATCACTAGTTGTTAAACCACATGACTCTAAGTTAACCCTACTGTCTCTAAGTTAAACCCACTGTCTCTAAGTTAAACCCATTGTCTCTAAGTTAAACCCATTGTCTCTAAGTTAAACCCATTGTCTCTAAGTTAACCCTATTGTCTCTAAGTTACAGCCGCTGTCTCTAAGTTAACCCCACTGTCTCTAAGTTAAACCCAGTGTATCTAAGTTGAACCTAATGCCTGTAAGTTGAACCCAATGTCAGTGATTTAAAACCTATGTCTCTACGTTAAACCTAATGTTTCTAAGTTAAACCTAATGGCTAGAAGTTAAAACCTAATGGTTGAAGTTAAACCAAATATCTGTGATTTAAACCTACTGTCTTTTAATTAAACCCACATTCTGTTTAGAGGCATAGATAAATGCCTACCAGGAAATGTAACCGAAAAAAAAGGAGAAAAAAAAGCAAGTTCTTGTATTTCTAAATTTAGATCTTCTACTTTGGAGTGGGTCATAAGTGATCTTCTTAAAGAAATACAATTTATCTCTGGGCCAACTTATGCTCAGTTAGAGTAGACTGGCTACAAATTTATTTTAAAATTTCTATTCCACTCTCTCTGTAAAAATGTTTCTTAACATGTCATGGAGGAATATTTCTAATTACATTTATTTATTCCCCAGAACTTCCATCGTTCCAAGTGGTAAAGATGACGCCAATGTATATCGCACAGCAGCTTCAACATTGCTGATCAATCAACATTCAGGCAAGGCGCACACGATACTGCCTGTCACACAAGCGTCCATCCAACCGACAAGTTCATCGATAACAAACATCCAAACGACAAATTTATTGAAAACAAACATCCAGTCAACAGATTCATTGACAACAAACATCCAGCAAACAGGTTCATCAACAACAAACATTCAGTCAATAGATTCATTGACAACAAACATCCAGCCAACAGATTCATTGACAACAAACATCCAGTCAAAAGATTCATTGAAAACAAACGTCCAGCCAACAGATTCATTGACAACAAACATCCTGTCAATAGATTCATTGAAAACAAACATCCAGTCGACAGGTTCATTGACAACAAACATCCTGTCAATAGATTCATTCACAACAAACATCCAGTCAATAGATTCATTGACAACAAACATCCAGCCAACAGATTCATTGACAACAAACATCCAGTCAATAGATTCATTGACAACAAACATCCAGTCAATAGATTCATTCACAATAAACACCCAGTCAATAGATTCATTCACAACAAACATCCAACCAACAGATTCATTCACAACAAACATCCAGTCAATAGATTCATTGACAACAAACATCCAGTCAATAGATTCATTGACAACAAACATCCAGTCAATAGATTCATTCACAATAAACACCCAGTCGATATATTCATTCACAACAAACATCCAACCAACAGATTCATTCACAACAAACATCCAGTCAATAGATTCATTGACAACAAACATCCAGTCAATAGATTCATTCACAAAAAACATCCAGTCAATAGATTCATTGACAACAAACATCCATCGAACACATTCATTGACAACAAACATCCAACCGACAGACTTATCGACAGCAAACATCAAAATAGGAGATGGTCTTGGTGGACGCCATCTGACATTTACTCAGATACTGCCAACAAGTTATGCAACATTTCCAGTAGCATCAGGGTCCGGTGGTCAACTTTCGTTATCTACAAAGCTCACTCCATGGCTAAGCCTTTCGGACGACGTCATCAGCACAACGAAATTGCCGACGACGAATCCCCAGGGGCCTGTTCACGTCATTCCTCTTCCAGTTGGTAGCACTGAATTAAATGATCCAAAACCGCATCCAACAAGTCAAGCGGCACTGGGGCAAGACGTGACGCCCCTAAAACAGTTTTCTTCAACAGAGGAGGCAGTTACCGTTGGCACCTATTTCAACATAACAGAAAGTGCTCCCCCTAGCGCGGGCATTGAAAGCACCAAAAGTTCGTCAGCTACCTACAACAGAAAAGACCTTTCGCATGTAACATTCGCCGACGCACAACAAACAGAACACGGTACACACACACTGCAGCACGCGAGTGGAGCACATCCCTCTTTAACGAATTTTGATTTGGGAATTTTAAGCTTATCATTCCAAAATCTCAATAGAGTAACTCACACGATTTCTACGGGACAATTTTCTGGAGAAATCAGTTCTAAAAACTATTGGCCCGACCTGTCACTGTCGTCTGTCAGCCTTCCCAACTCAGGACGTCACGTTTCATCCGTCGATCTTAAAGACGACGCGCGCCGTCTCCTCTTTGATGATGTTCTTGATTCTGACATCTCTTCTTCATTCGCATCATCTCCTGATGCAAACAGTAGTCGACTGTCAAAAAATTCAAATCCACTCATAACGTCAGTTGTTACTGACAGACGGGGCGTTGCATGTGAATACACTTCATTGAAACTTGAAGACTGTACAAGGACCGAAAATCTTCCCCCAGGTGAAAATATTATTGATGCGTCAAAAATCCTCCCTTACACAGTGACTCCTACTGTGACGCACATTGACGGGCGACCTGACAGTGGAAGCGAGACTCTACAGACGTCTTTTAGGCCTGCGTCAGTGACTCCAATATACTCCTCTCCGAGGCGTCCTCAGACTAAACCCGCGGCTGCACCCATGGCCGAGCCATTAGGTAACACTACAGAGATGTCGACCCAACCTGGCCCTTCCAGCCACCAACCCGCCACAGACGTGGCCACGACTAACACAACACAGACTGCTCTTGGGTGGACTACAGGGCACGTGGGTCAAAGTTCAGCTGGAACATCTTCATTGTCATTGACAGCGATGGTGACAACCTCACCATTATCTACTACAGCGGTTACCGTGACAACATCAGGTGATGCAGCAGCTAGAGTATCTTTAAGAACAAAAATTGTTTGTTAAATTTAAATTGCTTCGCAATAAAAATTATTTAATGGAGTCAATATTTAAAGGTTGATTTTTCAACAGATTATTATTGAGATAGTTTACCTCATGAAGATCTTTTCCTGAATTTATATTCATCATTATTTCTTCTCAGCATCAACTGAGACTACAGTTATTATAGTAGCTGCATGTGCAGTTTTTGCACTTTTGCTCATCGTCCTTGTGGCCATCGCCTGCGTTAGAAAATCAAAGAAAGCAAAAACAAAGGTGGGTAACTTTCACCAAACTATTTTTTCTTCCAATGAAACACTTTGAAATTTAAAAGATATATATGTTTTTAACAATACCCATCTCCCATACACTAACTGGCCATATGAAATGCGTGGCTATCTGGCTGCTTGGATAATATAAGTTAAAGATTTGACGTGTATTTAACATTCGGCAAAAACGTATGAGTAGTAGGTCCATTTGTGATTGGTGTTCAGCCATTTTATCAGGGTCAGTTTGTTGTAGCAAAAGATTCAAACTTCTGGCGACTAATGCGCTATACCGTGGAGACAGATTATGATGGATTTTACATTTCAATTGAAAATCTCCCGATTACATTGAAATGTCGCATGCAAAGATTCTAATTTTTCTGTCTTCTATTTCTCGAATTAATTATATTAATTAATTTTCCGTATTCCTGACCGACTTCAGAAATCTCGCGTGTTCACGGGGGCTGGTCCTAAAACACGTGTTTTGATTGGGCAGAAGCAGTGACATGGTAATTTAAAATTTATGAGGGAAATGTTTTCTTTTTCTAACAGTTTCTGGAAAAAAAAAACTTTACAAAATAAAGTAGCATTAAATTTCATTTCAGAGATTTGGGGAAATACATTTTGATCATAATCTTCGAACACATAAGTTTTAAATATCTATGTGTTTGTTGTTTCTTGTTTTGTCTTGACTGCTGAAGAAGGCGTTGAGCCGAAGCGTCCTTGTAATTGTCCCCTGGGCTCTGTTCGGAATGTCTGGAGTGACTTGCTGGTTAAAGAGGCGCTGCCAACCCAAACCCCCCCCCCCCCATAGCGCTACCCGGGGTACAAAACCATGCACCATTGCGTGATCCTGTGTAGGCAGAGAAAGGACATGCGTGGTATCTGCCGAAATTGTAGCAACTAGAGTGCGAGCTGTAACCTTTGAGGAGATTTCCAACGAGCCACTTCGTGGCCAGATAGGGGACTCATTGGGCTTGGAGGGTGGGGGGGGGGTAGTCTTATTGAGGGTATTAAGAGCTTGACTTCATTTTCTAATGTAAATAACTGATCTGTCTTTTTTTTTCAAGCCTAAAAAAATCTTGTTCTACTCTATATTTCAGTACTTCTGCTAGGCTATAAGGCTCGACTTGATCGAACAAGGTTGTTTTTTTTGTGCTTTTTATTGTTTTTTTAAAGACGTAAACAGCTATCAAACTGTAGCATCTCTTGCCGTCAGACCACTCAACGTGTTTCGTGTTTGAGGTGGTTCGTGTTTGAGGTGGAGCGTGATATCCCAGCCTTTGTGTCTGGTCACAGCCGAGAAGATCGCTGGAATAATGAGAGGTCCGCAAGTGCAGACTTTGAAGGGATTACTCAGGTTTATTGCAGTACATCTGGGGGCTGCCCCCACCCCACACCAAACTGATCCCCAATGATCGAGTTCAGTTCATTTTTTAGAGATTATGTGGAGTATTGGAGGTTTAATGACAACTTGATGTAGCTGAAGCTCCAACAGTTAGTGTCTCGTCGACTTTCTAAAGAGTTTATATCCATACATATATATATATTCAAAGGGTTATGGTGTGACAAGTCGTCTAAGAGCTACGTAACAATGGTCAAGGTATGATCTTAAACTGGATGAAAGCGGGCGTTGCCTAATGGTTTGTGATTCATTTGTTCGCAGGTACAACATGAGGGGGACGAGCTGTGGGTGGACATGAATCACATCCACGCCATGCCCCTACCTTCACTTACCTCAACCAATGAGCTAACTTTAAACTTGAAGTCAGGTGAGAAGGGTACATCTTTGCTGTTCAGCAGCAGACGTGATTGCCTCTACCTCTTCACGGGGCGATCGTGTCATGGCTTTACGTAGGCCCACGTACGATTCGTCAGTAAATCCAATTATATTAACACATTGACATTATATTTATGCCATTCTATTCAAGTAGGCCTACAACAAAATTTCAGGCTAACATTTAAACGTATTAGGTGTATACATTAAAAGAAAAAAACTTTAATAGGCATATTTATATTTGCCATTAATTTAAATATTGTGTACGTTCGTAAAAAGCCCCTTCTACAATTTCGGGATTTGAATTTCAGAGAAGAAAAATAAGGGTGGGGGTGCACAATACTAAAAGTTGACTCGTGTGGCGTGTGTAACAAGTTTAATCTGAAACGTGTGTCTACTGTACTGTAAAGTGTATAGTCTATAGATAAACAAGTTGACATCATACTAACGTGTTTCCAGGGACTGATACTTACACCGCTAGCCGAGCGTTCACTGCTCTAGATGGCGGGCAGATAACTCTCAGCGAAGGAGACATATTACAGATTGACGAGCGACAGGATGAGTGGTGGAAGGGACTTAATCTCAATACCGGACAAATAGGATGGTTTCCCTGTGATTTTGTCAGGCCACTTGGAGGTAAGGATGGTTTCTCTGTGATTTTGTCAGGCCACTTGGACACGAACAGTGTAAATAGGAATTGTACAGGAGACAAAAGAAAAAAAAAAATGATGACATGGCTAGTGTGACTGGAGGTAACTTGCAGTTTTTTGGGTTTTTGTTTTTTGTGGTTGGGTGGGGGGGGGGGGGGGGGGAGTTAAGGGACACAATCTGGCTACTAAGCGCCCTTCACTGGAAAAAGTCAAGGGTAGGCTATGGCCATGGCGTATATCAGGAGTTGGGGATTGTCTTTTAAAAGTTTTTCGTCAGCTTAGTCAGACTGGAAATGTTAGAGATACATTCAGATATATACAACTGTCTTGTAATACTTCCTCAATAGTGAATTTTTGTATTTGGTTCTGGTCAAATGTCAGTGGTTGTGGCAGGTAAGAGGCGATGAGTCACCAAGGTCCACCAGTGACTGTTGAACAAGTGATGTGCAATAATTTGAACATTTAATTTAAAGGTGTGCTATATGATCTGGTGTGTAAATGAGAAAGATGACTCAATTTATTTCAATGTGCAGGGTCAACAGAAAACACATTATGGGATAACAAGTTGAAATCCCCAGTAGAGAAGAGTGCTACGAGTGTCCACCCATTGCGGGCACAGAGACAAGTCAGCTCCTTTCAAATCAAAAAGAACATAGCAGCAGAGGTCAGCAGGAATCATGAAATGACGTTTCCAGAACTGGAGGTAGGGAGAAAATATCTTTTGAGATAATAAATTAATTATAATTCCCCGTTGGCAAAAAAAGGATGTTTTCTAATTTGAGAGGAATTCTGGTTTTAGTAACTGTTTGATGATAAACTTTCAGATAAAAATGGGGAAATAGATTTAAATGTCTTATAACAATGAAGAGTTACAAACAAAATAAATGGAAAGCTAGAGTCTAAAGGCCAAGCCTTTAATTAATTTTTTTTTTTAAATTTCAGAATTCATCAAGAGCAATGGCTTATCGCAGTAGTAATGAGGAGAATATATATTTGACCATTATTTAGATAAATATAATTATTTTGATTTTGGAAAGTAGCCTACATTCACAAAAGAATTTGTTTAATATAAAAGTTAACGTTCATTAGTTGCTGGTGGTTTTTTTACAGGACAATCAAGAAGTGCAATATGTTGAATCCTGGGTCAAGATGGCTGCCAGTGTGTCCATGTCTTCACTGCCAACAACAGAAAGAAGCTACACCAACACCAGCGATTATAACGCTGCTGTCAAAGGTAAATTATGTTTGAAATCTCTCCCAGCCTATTAAGGGAGCCATTATAAAGGGTGGTGAGAAGACAGAGCGCAAAAATCATAGATTATCTTATATTATTTTAAATATAGACCTTTATACTGTATCCAGAAATTTGATAGACGGTAATTTGATCAAACGGAAATTTGGTCGAAACTTTTTTTCAGTTTTAACGTTAAAATTTTGCTTCAAATTTCTTTTTGAATGCATTATTTTGTTTTACTATATAGTATAGTGCGTTCTTGATTTTGAAATAATAGAAAAAATTCTGGGGAGCCCCCTCCTCCTTCCACTCAAGAGCCTAGTGGCGTATCTTAGTGCTAATGCCGCCCCCTCCATATAAAGAAAAAGTGAAACCTGGGCGGACCACCACATCTGTCCCCTTCTGTGCCACTGGCGGAGGCGCAGCTAGAGTGTTTGGTGCCAGGGGACAAGGTTCTTGTTGTTTTACACCCACACCCCCACCCCAATAAATTTTCTGAAAGAAACACTGCATTTGCGTACCCTGAATGGTGAGGAACTGTTGCTTTTTTTGGGCCAGTAGCAGACTTACATAGTTAACAGCATTTATGGGCATTGCTCAGTTTCATTTTCAGATCATCAGTTATTTTTTTTTAATAGCCTTACTGTAATGTCTTTGTTAATTACGTTTGAGACAGAAAACATCTTAAGTAAGCTTACCTTTTTAATGAACGTACTTATATATATATATATATATATATATATATATATATATATATATATATATATATAAGTATAAATTATGTACTAGCAGATGGTAAGACGTATCGAGCCGTGTATGCATACAAACCAGTTTTTAAAGGGGAGCTGGCTCTTAAGGAAGGAGAAATTGTTGTTTGTAAAGAAAGGGATCGGAATGGCTGGATGTTTGGAACAAAGCCGAGGTCGAAGGATGAGGGATGGTTTCCAGCTGTCTACGTTGATGAGGTAACGAATATAGTTTTGAAATGGAACAAAAGATTTAACATTTGAACTTTAAACTGTTGCACCTCCCCAAACTGTTAAACTGATACGAATGTGGACATGCTGACTTTATCATACAAGTATTACAAGTATGATTTAACATTTACGTACATGGCATCCACAAACTGGATTGCATTACTGTTGGTTAAATACGTATCTTTAAAAATAGATTTCCACGGACAGCGAGTCCTGCAACTCAGACATCCCTGAAACATATGAGATTTTAGACTCCAACAAACTGCACAAAGCTGATCGCTCATGGATCGGCATAGGTAAATATTAAAAGAAATTGTCAAAAAGAAATCAAAGTGAAGAAGCATTCTAACATTCAAGATTATAAATTCAAAACCACTTGGTGATGAAAAATAATTTATTTTCAATCCTTTTCCCCCTGCTATAACTTACAACTTCCGGTGACCATACGTTCTGGTAACAAACTTTTCACAATCTCTATTATTGTTCATTTAATATAGTAACATATGCAAGGGGATGGAGTGGGCGGGGGCGGGCTTGGGAGCAGTGGGGGGGTTGTTCGCCCTAAGTGGCACAAGCAGCCCCACCCCACTAATTGAATTCATGCTGTTTCAGAAAAATAATTTGAATTATATTTTGATCCTGCAATATTAACAAGTCCGGTTCCTTGCCCAAACATTTTCTGCACACATTAGCTCATGAAATAAGGCCTTTGTTTGTAAAGCGTTCACTCCACTAATCTTTTAGACAAGCGGTGTATTTTTTATCTTTACTGGAAATGTCTTGTTGACTTCTCAGAACACAAAGTCCTGTATGACTATGCCAGTTGTATTCCCGGAGATTTGTCTCTAGAGGAAAATGATATCATCACCGTCTTACAAACACTGGCCAACGGCTGGTGGTTTGGTTTCAAGGGAGACAACTATGGATGGTTTCCTGGGTCATACGTTGAGGTGAATATTGTAACTTTTTGGTAAAGATTAAATCAAGGGTGACCAACCAGCAGGCCGCGGGCCGCATAATAAAAGGTGAACATGTGAAACTATTACAATAAAAGGTGAACACATGAAACTATTACCATAAAAGGTGAACACATGAAACTACTACAATAAACTAAAATAATTTTTTACACTAATCACTCAATGACAATACTTCTAAGAATTATTTATGTTCTGCTGCATTTGAAATTCTATAAAAAAGTGTTTCTGTCACAAGGGAACGGGTGTAATTTTTAGTGCATCCATTTAGAAATAAAATAATCAAATAACAACTGATGGAACTTTCCTCAGCTGATGTGCTATTGCTAGAATTTACCTCATACTCTTAGTTCGTAAAGAATTTTGAGATTTTAACTTGGCTATAATTAATTCATGAACAATTTCAGATTGATGTTTTGAAAACCCACTTATACATTTATAATCAAACATTTACTAAGATGTAAACACCATATTTTCTTGTAACTTGTAGATGATCGAAGGAGATGAGACAGAAATTGCTGACTCAAATTCAGTGCAGGCAGTTCTGAAGGATACAAGCGGTCATAGTAGGAATGTTCTGGAAAGGCAAAACAATGTTGACGAAACAAAAATAAATGACCAAAGCACAGAATCTACCAAACTGTCGCCAATGGGTGAACTGAATACCAGTTATAATCCACTTCAGATCTTGCCTCAAAAAGAACAAAAGTCTGAATACAATTTCAGACCAAACAGGAAAGCACCCCAGGCACCTGGTCCTGCGGCTGACGTTCCTCTACTCAAACCAGCAAGGCCTGCACCAGCTCCACCAATCAGGCAACACTCACAGCTCAGGAAAGAAAGTCTGCTCTCAGATAGTTATCAGATGAACAGCCCAGACGGTAAGGTGACTCCTTTGACCAGGCAAGCCCTGGCCTTTCAAGGAAAGAGACCAAAACTAACCAAAGTCCCCAGGGGATTGATCAGTGAGAAGCAGCTCAATCCCATAATCAGGCCGTCAACTCGAGGTTTTGTTCCAAGGCCTGTACAAGCAAATCATTATAAGGGAACTGGCGAGTTCAACAGTAAATTTAATGAACATACTCCAACAGAAGACTTTCATCAACATGAAATAGCATTGAAAGACATGGACAGATTAAATAATGGGAGATCATCCTTCTCATCTCATGGCAGCTTCTCTCCCTCCCACAGCCACTTCAGCCATGTCCATGGGTCTGACCCGGACAATGACCACGCCAGCAACTTCTCCCACGAAAGAAGCCAGACTCCTGATTTTAAGCTGGAGAGATCCAACTCACCCATCATTCCAACCTCAGGACACTTCCTCCACAACGTCCAGCGATTCAACAGGTTTGTCAGACACACAAGCCCTACGCTGTCAGACTCGTCCGATTGTATAACAAAATTCACAAAGGTGAACATAAGGGAGCACAATGCTCAGCCGGGAAATGACAAGTTGCCACCACAGCAGCATAGGAAGATCCCACCTCCAGTTGTCCCGCATTCAAAACTGAGCCACCTCCTGAAGAAAAGGGTCAATCCCCCGACCGAGACCAACAGCGAATCAAATGACACATCAGAAACCAATCGGGAAAAGAATGATACTGTTTCGGCAGGTTTTGTTAGTTCTGCCAGTGACTTAATCACTTCAGAAGATCATGGTGTCGTACCAATCACACCTGGAAAAGTCTTAGAGATTGTGCAACAAATCAACCAGTTGGCACCTCTACAGCATACACAGTTGAACAGGACAGACAGTGACAGTGACACATTAACAAACATTGACTGAAAATGACAGTGACACAATATCAAACATTGACTGAACATGACAGTGACACAATAACAAACTTTGACAGGCAGCGGCACAATAACAGACATTGACACAATAACAAACATTGACTAGACAGCGACAAAAACATTGATTGAAAGTGACAAAATTGCAAACATTGACTGAATGTGACAGTGACACTATAACAAACATAGACCAGACAGTGACAGTGACATACTAAATATTGACTGAATGTGGCAGTGACTTAATAATAACTATTGACCAGACAGTGACAGAATAACAAACATTGACCATTCATGTTACAACAAACACTGATGTGACAATGACATGTTATGTGACTAAACTAATCACAAAAAGTGCTTTGTTGATGGCTTTTTTCAATTTCTAAATTCATCCTGTCTAATCATCCTCTTTAGCCATATAAAATCATCTTTTAAAATCATCAGCTAAAATCATCATGCAATTAATTGCTTACAATTGTGGCAGAGTATTAATGTTCACATAATGCCTTGTATACAAATTGTTTCAGCATTGTACCAGTATTGACAATGGTGTTTATCCCATTGAAATTCAACAGGATGTATGACTAAATCTTCATAACTTTTTTTATAGTAGATTGCTACAATTATCATATAAAGTAAGCACTACATTTTTGTATAGAGAAATCTTAAATTCCAAACTTGCTTTGATGACAGCTTTAAATTTGATTTGATATCTTATTCACCTGTCATTGACCATCCCTGAGCCAGATAAAATCAATGTCTAAATGATTTCATGTCTCTTATTTTTAGTCAAGATCAATTTTTTTCTATTTATTTTTACAATATCTGGCTTGATTTTTAAGAGAGTTGAATGACTCAATACTTTGTATGTAAAATGCTTTAAAAAATATTTTATATAGATTATCCCTTTATCAAAAATTCTTGCGACACACTTGTAAACACGGGGTTGGGAACCACTGATCTTTTTCATTTTATTTATTTTAAATTTCAATGTGCAAGAAATTCAAGATTTATGTAGATTCTTTAACTAATTATCAACATAATTTAATAAGTTAATTGGTTAAAATATAGAAACATTTTAAAAGGACAATCAATAAAAAATTATAAGATTACAGTGCATTTTTTTTAAAAATTCACTCGCACCACTTCAAACAAATATATATATATATAAATATATATATCCAAAACTGTCCCAGATATCCATATTGTGTTTTTTAGCCAAAATTTAATTATTTAATCATGCCGTTAAATGCCAGTTTAAGTTTGCGGTGTATCAGATTCAATTGATATAAATAAATTATAACTGTTAAGAAACACTAATCCATTTCATTTGGAAATAAAAAAATTTTTAAAAATATGTGAATGTATTTCAAATAACAATAAATGTTAAGTTAAATTCTTAGGCCCTGTTATTTCAGTGGCATAAATACATTTGCATGCTTAAAGAATGCATTTTACATTTTTTACTTGTTAAACTAGTCATATCAGCAGCAGAAGCTTGCATTATTAACTCAGTTAAGCACTAGGATAAACTAGTCATATCAGCAGCAGAAGCTTGCATTATTAACTCAGTTAAGCACTAGGAAAAACTAGTCATATCAGCAGCAGAAGCTTGCATTATTAACTCAGTTAAGCACTAGGATAAACTAGTCATATCAGCAGCAGAAGCTTGCATTATTAACTCAGTTAAGCACTAGGATAAACTAGTCATATCAGCAGCAGAAGCTTGCATTTTAACTAAGTTAAGCATTTTTTTTTTTTTAACATTTCCAGTTTTCAGACTTGAAGTTTTGAGGCTTACATGTATGACACCATTTCAAATCTCAAGACGGTTACTTTAAAGTCCAGGAGTTTAAATTAATTTAGATGAGCCATTTAACTATGGATTCTGTTTGTATTCAGGTTTGTAGGGTTGGGTATACCAGTCTTATATCAATCACTGTTCAGGTTTATAACCAATAAAAAGAGCTCTTTGACCTTCTTTCCCAAACCTCTGAACTGATTAAAAATGCGTAGATCTGAAACTGAAGAAACTTTATCTACAACTTTGTTTGAATATAATAATTGATTGTTACTAGGGTATATATATTACCTTTTAAATTTTATTTCTGAAAAATGTACACCTGTTAGCGAGACTGCTTATAATTGTCTGCTCTGTTAGTCATCTAGATCCCTAATTCATCTAGATGAGCATTTCCCAGACTTTTAAGTGTGGCGGACCGGTGGAAAAGATTCAAAATCGCACCAGGGGCTGGTGCCAGGTTTACTAATTATATATTCTTTTTATTTGATAATAAATATTCATTTTGCGCGGAACGCCAACGTAAGTCTCACCACAGGTGTCGGTCCATTATTTCATGGTGGCTGATCTGGATGTGCGGAATGTAGAGCTGCTAAAGTTATATAGAGGCAGAAGCCTAGGGGTAGACGCCTCACCAGTCGTCCAAGGCTGAGATGGATCAACGATGTGGAGACGGATTTACACCAGTAGAGGGTTCGCGCTTGGAGGCGGAAAACCATGGATCGCTCCAAATGGAAGGATGTGGTGGAACAGGCCAGGGCTCTACATGGGCTGTAGCGGCACTGACGATGGTGTCTGAATGGAAGGATGTGGTGGAACAGGCCAGGGCTCTACATGGGCTGTAGCGCCACTGACGATGATGATCTGGATGGCCATTTTTGTGATGTAGTTAAAAATGGTTTGAAATGTTTTTTAAAAATCTGTAGAGTATATAACGGCTGCAACAAACTGGGGGGAGAAGAAGAGGACGACAGAGAAAAAGATGGGAAGACAACATCAAAGAGTGGATGGGACTAAAGCTAGGTGATGCTTTGCGAAGTGCAGAAAACGGAGGGGAATGGAGGATAGTTTTCATGTCATCTGTGGCGCCCCAACGGTCCAAGGACTAAAGGACATAATGATGATGAACAAACTGGCAAAAAGTAGTCGTGATAAAAGTAAAGACAAATGGCAAAATTTTGTGCCAAAGGATTAAAACCAGAAGAGCATAATTTGGGCTGTGGTATACCAAAAATAACAAGGCAGTTATTTGGGTCTATTTTTTTAATTCTATGTGAGCAAGAAAGATCTCCAGACATAAATGAATAAATTAAAGACAATTATTTCCATGAACACTAAAAAATTTCTCTCACATTAAAAGTTATAAAATACAATTTTAAAAAAAATAAGTACAACTTAAATCTTTTCTTGTCATCTTCCATCATCATCATGTGCTTGTGGACAAAAAAAATTCAATTTGTTTCTCAGCAAAGAAATTTCTACAGGCATGGCTTCAAAGGATTCACCATCAATGTTGTACCATTGACCCTGAAATGTGAACAGTTTTCAGCTTTAGTAATAAGAAGGAACCATCTATGTCTGACATTTTAACAACAACATATGGTCATTAATCTAGCAGTAGCCATGAATATATGTCTTATGGCCCACAACGGAGATGAAGAAAATTTCACATCAGTCATTTTGGCTCATTTTAGATAGGACTTGAGCAGATCAACTACAACATTCTAGAACATTCTATTTTTGTTAAGGCTTTTACTCTCACGAACATTTAAAAGTTACCGTATTTTAAAACAACACAGATGGTAGCATAAAATACAGACAATTTAACCTTAAGATATCTTGTTTTTTGTATTTTCATTAGTGTTAAGAGATATGGGCAAATGTACCACCATAATGAATTCTATGTTTGATTTTGAGGGCAGTAGGCTGTATGTTATAGGTATCGATAACGTTAAGGTCAACGAATACACTCTTTGTAAATTTCTCATTCATATTTATTGATAATTTTGTGTAAATATTCACAGATTAAATGTATAAATCAGATGCCTTCCAAAGGTATTTAACTTGTTAGCTTATATTTTATAATACTTACCTCTTTCTTTAAGTCAATGTGAATTTTTTTTACAAGTAGAGTTTTATCCCCTTCCGACCCCATCTTAAAGCCAGTTCTCTTGATTCTACTCCAACTGCAAGTCAATTTAAGAAAACATAATTATGATACATATAAAACATGATATATAAAATTGTAAAACAAATTATGCTTTAAATTACACCATGAAGTACTGTTTTTCCTTTTCAGAATTTTATTTTTCATAATGTGCACGAGGAGAGCTAACTTAGTTAATAGATGTAAATTATTTTATTGTTTAAAAAAAAAATTAAAGCATTTTTTAAAAACAATTTATGGATTTCATTCATAGTACCACAAAAGCTTCATTTTAAAAATATTTTAACAACTTATGCTGTTCAGGTAAAAAAAAATAATTGGTGAACAATGTGTGGGCTTAAGTTAGCATGACTGGTCTAAGAACAAATTTAAAACAAAGGTTTGTCATTTTTACTCTAACAGGTTGGACAACCCTAGGCTCTGATTACTTTGGTAGCAAAAATATGCAAGTGAAAGAGGCCAATTGAATCAATATGTACAACCTTATACACACATACTTTGAGTATTTCAGGAGCACACTTTATAAACAATATATTTTTATACTTAGTGAAATTAATATCTTGAAGTACTTTTATATTTACATACCCTTCTTTTATCAATTCTGTTTTTGTAGGTGAACTTGGTCCTAAAGAAACTTGCAGAGCTTTTAAAGGCTAGGATTTGAAAATAAAAAAGAATAACTTCAAAAAAAAATGTCTTCAGTTATATAAATGCAACATAAAAAAAAAAGAAACAATATTGAGTAAAATTATTTTTTCATACTTAAAGATTCCAATAAGTCAATGACGGGAAATTTAAAATATAAATTTTAATTTCAACCTGGGATAAAGCAATCATTTTTTAACTTTCTTTTTTAAGATTATTAAACAAGAATACACAAAAGAGAATGTAAAAACTGATGAATATCTCAGACCAAACAATCGGCAATTTAAAAATTAAAACCTTTACGTTTTATGTATATATGTCAGTTAAATGGGAAATTACATAACCAGGAAGCAATGGGTATCTATAATTCAGTTAGTATTTATCTGACATCTTGATCTTTTATTGCTTTTTTTCTTCTTCTGTTTGTCTTCTGATAAAGCCTTCTGACAACAAATCTCATTTAAGATTTTATTACATAAATTTGTATTATACTTATTTTAATAGTAATTGGTTTCGGATAAGGTACAAATTGAAACAATACAAATTAAACAGTGGGAACCAATGAAAAACATCTTGTAAAACAACTTGATAGTTTTGAAAGTTACTGAAATGCCGAGATAATAAGTGGAGAGACTAGAAAACCAAATAGTTTTAGTGTCATTTAAGTGTGAACAAAGAGTGCAAAGTGTGAACAAAGAGTTCACTGTCGTAACAAAAATGAAAAGTCATACCATCTCTTTATTGAATAAACTTGAATTGGTTACAGTTATCTCAACAGTAGAAACATCTGTTGTGATACTGTCTTCATCTTCAGGTTTAGATGCCACTTCTTCAACTGACATAACAAAGTTACAAAACAGTTTTAAAAAAAAGAAAAATGATAAAACAATAATTAATTAGGGAATAGCTTTGGTCAGATAGGAAAAAGAATGAACATTTTTACCCTTAGTGCTCTACAGAAGATAGCAAATTGTACACTAATTATATAATAGTTATCAATAAGAAAAACAAGGGTGATGGCCCACGTCACATGGAAATTGTTTTAATGGAATGGACTTACGAAATTCAGTGCAGCTTGAGAGCACTGCTGAGTTAAATTAAATGTTAACATCATTATTTCAATGTTATGTCTACTCGAGATAAACATTACAGAGAAGAACAGCTATAGTGACTTGTCTGCTTCACTTATCACTTATTCTAAATGAGAAGGATCAACTTGGTGAGACGATATTAGCTTTACAATGTCTGGCTTCAGTCACATAATAGGGTTTCACTCCCCACATTCAGAAATTGGGAGTCAATTTCTTTACCCAGAGCAAAGTTTGACAGCCAGTAGGAGAGCCAAATTAGAATTTTACTTTTAAAAGATTTAAGTACCATGATAGTTATAGTACAATTTACAAGAATCTCTCTAAACTAATAGCAGAAAACTGACTTAAGTTCAAACTCTCCTTCACCCATTGACTGTATAATTACCTTGTGCAAGACTCCTCTGTTTCCTGCCAAACAAAAAGTCAACAAAACTCCAGTTCTTCCTTCCTACCAAAGGTTTTAACATTTCAGGATCTTCATATTTCATGTTCTCTTCAGTGGCTTCTACGAATGATATTGTAGCATCCAGTACCGGAGGCCACTGTTTCATAGCTGTACGAATGTAGGTCCAACGAGATTTTAAAGGTCCAAAATACCAGTATCTGAAAAAAACGTGTAAGGTTGTTATAATCTTTGCCACAAGAATGATGTTTTAAGAAAGAGATCTCATAATAACTCTTACAGGATGTTTTAAAACCAAATATAAAATAATCACGAAAATATAATTTTAAAAATGTTCTGCATTTCTTTATTCCTTTGCTGTTAATACTTATTTATTTTTATTTAACTATAGAGCATTGTTTTCTAAATCTAAAATATAATAAACAAAAATCAAATATTAGCTATTTTAAGTACCGGTAACTATTTTTAAATTATTTGTTACTTTCCTTATGTTTGAACATTTCATAAACACAAGGAAGAATAAAAAATAAATGTCTATACTGATAGTGAAGAGTATTACTTTCCCTTGCGATCTTCAGCATCCCTGTAAGCCCCGGCCTCTAGCCCCATCAGTGCAAATATTTTCTTATCATCTTGTCCCTAAAAAAAAATGTATTATTTTTTATGAAAATGTTATAATTACAATACAGAATAACAATTTATTAAATCGACTTAACATTAATGCAGCTCTTCATGATAAAGAAGCAAAGCTTAAAATAAAATGAATAGCAAGATCCATTTCTACAATGGATAATAATTAATATATTTTTTTCCAAAGGAACTTATTCCTCGGAGCATCCTGGCCTTAGTTTCTGGTATTTTATTTTTAATGATATTTTCAAATCAATAGTTGATGGATAACTAAGAAAAGCATTCACACTAAAGAAAATGATAGTGCTCTATTTAGTCTTGTCTCAGCTCTAAATATTGCAGTTTGAGAGCTTTGCGATATAAATGATTTTGTTAAGAACAATCCACATGAATGTCAGTACCACCCCAACCCATTTAGGAGCTGACCAGCCGTGAGAGACGGAGGTCCAAATTGCTGCATTACAAACTCACTTTCAAGTAAAACCCCATAAACATTACAAACAATGTTTTTTTAAAGTGAAACTCTATTCCGATTTATTTTAAATGACGGAGCAACAATCACCTCCAGTTTGATGACATCAACTTTCTTTGTAACGGCTCGTACTACAGCAATCGCAGCTTCAGCTATAGTTCTGGTGAACAGATTCAAGAGTTTCAGTTTACCAAAATTATTTTTACTGCCATAACAGATGCAAAACACATTAAAGCACACAAACTTACAAAATTCATAGATAAAATTTAAAGTTTTGAGAGGTATAAGTTTTCAGTTGTGCACATTTATCCGTAGAATGAGAGTAATTTTATCTTATTGTGAAAATGTTTCCAAAGAACAAAGGCCTTACCTGACTTCATCTGGATCCTCACCAAACAGAAGCTTTGAAAATCTGTTTGAGTTGCCAATGGGAATAATTCCAATGGGAATATTTTCCCTGAAATTCTGTAAACAAATTAAATTGATGAAGAGGATATTATTTTTATGGAAGTAAAGGCAATGTATTGGTTTACAAACACATTCTGCTTTACAGATTGGGTAAATATATAAAGTTGTGCTTTGCAGAACCACCATGTGGAAGGGCCAATAACCTGACCCACGGAACAAACATGTCTCCACTGAATAAAACAAACTGATGAAAATTCATAGTTTTGTTGATGTAAATATAACTGCCTCTTGCATAGTTGACACACAAAAATAATTATATTCTGTTGTTCAGTTTGTTTTTGTATTGGTGTTTTTGCAAGTGTATTTTTCGTTGCATTTAAAATATTGATGAGTGTCTTCCATATTAACTAAAAATGTAGGCAACATTTTCTAATAACTGAACTGGGCTCTGGAAAGAATTAAAAATCCCTGTAGGATATCATAAATTACGGCTGTCTGAAAACAAACTAGGTCTGTTCTAAAAGGCACCTGTGAAAATGTTATTTTGTTTAAAACCAATTTGTCAATAACCATACAAAGTGTTCAATTCAAAATAACTTGTGAGTTTTTCTCTCCATTACATAGACAAGGCAGGTCAAATCTTAGACATTTCCATCCACATTACATTCAACACACATCACTATGGGTGTTGCACTAGCTTACTTACAGACCTCCCAGTATTATTCTTCTTCTTCTTTATTTTAAGGGCCCACGATCAATGAAATGATCATTCTGGCTCCTATGTTTCAGAGGGGTTTGCGATGTTACTGTCCATGGGTTTCAATGGGATACTTCACTGGTTGCAAGGGCGACTCAGCAGTGGTGTTATGAACTGGGGGTTGGAATACTGGAGGCAATAGACACAAATGTGTCTAGTGTAGCTGCCTCAACTGTTGCTTTTGGAAGCTTGTTCCAGTCCCCTATTGTCTTCGGCAGGAATGAGGAGCTTCTGTACTTTGTTCTTGTTTTTACCAGCCGGAACTGTTTGTTGTGGCTTCGTCGCAGTCTGGGGGGAAGATGAACGAGTTTCTGTTTGATTCCGGAGCAGTGCACCAGCCCATTTGTTATCTTGTACAACATGGTGAGCCTGGATAGTCGTCGTCGTCGTTCTTCCAATGTCGACCAGCCCAGTGTTTCCAGCATGCTACCAACACTCGAGGTGCTTCTGTAGCGGTTCGTGACAAAGCGCGCTGCCCGTCGCTGGACCGCCTCCAACCTGTCGATGCTTTTCTGGGTAAATGGGTCCCAGACTGTAGAAGTGTACTCTAAAATAGGTCGGACAAAGGCTTTTTAGGCTTTTTCTTTCACGCTTGAGTTGCTGATCTTCAGATTGCGCCTTAGGAACCCCAGGGTCTTGTTTGCCCGGTTGCACACACTGTTAATGTGCTCGTCCCAGTGGACCTCTCTTTGGATGGTAACACCCAAGTACTTTACGGAGGAAACTGGCTCAAGAATATGGCCATGCAGTTCGTAAGAGTGGTTGAGAGGGAATCTGCTTCTGGAGACTGACAGGGTCTGGCACTTGACGGGATGAAATTCCATGTCCCAGCTCATATCCCACTCAGCTAACCGATTGAGGTCTTGTTGAAGCTGGCTCTGGTCAGAGCTGTTGACGATTGTCCTATATACCGCTGTGTCGTCTGCGAACATTCTTGCTTGAGAGGTCAGCTTCTCGGGCAGATCATTGATATATGCTAGGAACAAACAAGGGCCTAGCACTGAGCCCTGGGGGACCCCTGACTTAACACCGACAAAGGAGGAGGTTTTGCCATCTACCACTACTGCCTGGCATCGGTCGCTGAGGAAGCTAGAGATCCATGTTTTGGTAGTGCCTTGGATCCCATATCTCTGCAGTTTGTGTAATAGTAAGCTATGGTTGACACGGTCAAACGCTTTTGAAAAGTCCAGCACAAGCACATCAGTCTGCCTGCTGTTCTCCAAATTGGTCGTCAACTCTTCTGCAAATTCAAGGAGTTGGGTCTCGCATGATCTGTTGACTCGAAAGCCATGCTGACAGTCATTGAGTATATTATTTCTTTCCAGGTGATTCATGACCACGCTTATGATTATGTGCTCCAATAGTTTACATACTACGCTAGTGAGGGATACAGGGCGGTAATTGGCTGGGTCGTAATGCTCTCCTTTTTTGTAGATTGGAGTGACATACGCTGTTCTCCAGTCAGTTGGAACTTTGCCTGTGAATAGCGACGATTGGAAGAGGATTGTTAATGCAGGAGCGATTTCTTTGGCCAATTCTTTTAGCACTCGTGGCTTGATGTTGTCAGGACCACATGCCTTGTAGGGGTTAATGCTTTTAAGAAGTTCCAGCACAACCTTCTCTGAGCTCTTGATATCTTCCATGGTGGGATAGGCTGTGCTCATCATCTTGGTCTTCAGCAGGAACTCAACTTCTGAGTACTCTCTACCATCCCCAAAGACCGACTGGAACTGTTGATTGAGTATGTCCGCCTGTTCTTTGGGTTCAGACGTCAACTTGCCTTCCCATCTCAGGGGGGAAACCCCGATGTTTGTTGACCTTTGATGCTTGACATAGCTCCAGAACCGCTTGTTCTTGGCGGTAGTATCTTCCTCTGAGAAGATGCCGTTCAGGTAGTTCCAGTAGGATCTGCGCAGTAAGCATTGGATGGTTCTTCGGAGCCTCAGTACTTCGGCTTTTAGTTCGACCGACCCATTCTTCTTCATACGTTTGTACTGGCGGTCTCTCCTGTGTATGAGCCTTTGGATTTCAGCCGTAACCCATGGTTGATTTGTCTTAGGTTTTTACAAATGTGTCTAGTGTAGCTGCCTCAACTGTTGCTTTTGGAAGCTTGTTCCAGTCCCCTATTGTCTTCGGCAGGAATGAGGAGCTTCTGTACTTTGTTCTTGTTTTTACCAGCCGGAACTGTTTGTTGTGGCTTCGTCGCAGTCTGGGGGGAAGATGAACGAGTTTCTGTTTGATTCCGGAGCAGTGCACCAGCCCATTTGTTATCTTGTACAACATGGTGAGCCTGGATAGTCGTCGTCGTCGTTCTTCCAATGTCGACCAGCCCAGTGTTTCCAGCATGCTACCAACACTCGAGGTGCTTCTGTAGCGGTTCGTGACAAAGCGCGCTGCCCGTCGCTGGACCGCCTCCAACCTGTCGATGCTTTTCTGGGTAAATGGGTCCCAGACTGTAGAAGCGTACTCTAAAATAGGTTGGACAAAGGCTTTATAGGCTTTTTCTTTCACGCTTGAGTTGCCGATCTTCAGATTGCGCCTTAGGAACCCCAGGGTCTTGTTTGCCCGGTTACACACACTGTTAATGTGCTCGTCCCAGCGGACCTCTCTTTGGATGGTAACACCCAAGTACTTTACGGTGGAAACTGGCTCAAGAATATGGCCATGCAGTTCGTAAGAGTGGTTTAGAGGGGACCTGCTTCTGGAGACTGACAGGGTCTGGCACTTGACGGGATGAAATTCCATTATTTTGCATTAAGGTAAAAAAGGACAGCTGTTTTAATTAAATGTTTTTTTAATTAGAATGATAAATAAACTTACCCTATCTTCCTTCCTTAAAAACCCCGTCACAGCCTAGGGAGTACAACAAACAAAATGATAGAGTTAAGTAGAAACTTTCTATGTGTTTCTGTTGTTTAAGTTTTAGTTTCTCATTGTATGCTGGTTTATTGAGTTTCCTGTGGATTTTAATTCTATTTTCTTTTCTTTACAAACCAAATGTTCACCCCATGCGGATTCCAATGTAAACAATTTGTAATCTTGATATAATATGGTAGTATATTGACTTTAAAATAGAAGTGTTGGGTTCAAATATTACAAAAGTCAAGCCCCGCTAAGTGAAAACAGGTAGTATGCCTTGAGGATGGCAAAAGGTCATAAAATTTAAACTCCAACATCAAAGCCAGATGGATTGGATTTGTAAGCCCAGGAAGACAGTTAATCATGAGATGGACTTGAAAAAAAAAAAAAAGGGGGGGGGGGGGGGAGAAGAGTTAAATCATCAGCCAGTACAGACTAATGATAAACTGAAGATAGGTCAACCCCTGGATGAATGTTGAAAAGAAATATAGCAACATTTATGGCCAGATGACACAGCACTTAGAGGATTGTGACCAGCCCATGAAATTCCAAGGATGACAGATTTCAGGGCCAACAATGACTTGAAACAATAAACTATAAAGTCGTAAAATGAATGCAATTAAGAGAGCGGTACCAGATTTTTTCTTCTGTAAAAACAATTGTATAAACTTACCTCCAATAATGTTCCCCCTCCACCAGCAATGACAACAGCATCTGTGTCTTGAGTGTCTAGCACACTCATAAACTTTTTTACCTGTCCTTCATATTCAGTCTAAAAGAAGAATCACAAATATTTTCATGACACAAAAAAAAAATTTTAAAAAATCACAGGTTTAGCAATGAAAAACCATTTGGCTACTTAATAGTAACTAATTTAATAGAAATTAACAGCCGATCTTGAAAGGAAAATAAAGGCGATGGAGATGAGATGCTTTAGAAGCATTTTTGGCATCTGCTATAGGGACCATATCTCCAATGATACAGTGAAAAAAAGGGTTCGCCAGGCGATTGGGGAGTACGATGACCTACTGGTGACTGTGAAAAAACGCAAAATATAATGGTACGGCCACGTAACAAGGAAACAAGGGCTTGCCAAAGAAATATTGCAGGAAACCACAAGAGGAGGGAGAAGAAGAGGAAGACAAAGAAAAAGATGGGAGGATAACATCAAAGAATGGACAGGACTAACACTGGGCGATGCTGTGCGTAGTGCAGAAGACAGAGACGAATGGAGGAGGATAGCTCACATGTCATCTGTGGCGCCCCAATGGTCCAAGGACTAAGGGACATGATGATGATGAATTTCATAGTAACTTATTTCTCAAGCTTTCATAATGTAATGGAGAAAATTAAATGAAGTAATTTAGAAACCCCATTATCTTGCTAGAATTTTGAAAGTAATCCAAATTTAAAAATGAAATACTGAGCTGTTAGCTCAAATAATAAAACACTGGCAATAACTTACACTAATGACGTTAACCTCTATTCCAGCAAGGTACAGGATTGGCGCAGCTGTCTTCTCAAACAATTTTCTTGCTTTTCTAAGAAAAATTAATCATAGATATTAAACAATTAGTTCAATTAATTTAAAATATGCATCTTTCTTTATTTTTATGAAATAGGCTATATTGCGAAGGCTTAAGTAGCTTTACTGATTAATTTTAGAAACTTAATTAGGATCCCTATTGTTTTTATAATTACTGAAATCTACAATTTTTGCAATTATCTGTAACTGAATAAAGAAATTAATGTATTGCTTTTTAAAAAAATAACAAAATGGCATTTACCCTCCTTTAGCTGCAGGATTTAGAAACACAGTAACTCGCCTTGGTCTGTGACCTAATAAAATTTTTTCATTACCATATTGCTAAAAAGTGAAGAAAAAAAATAAATTAGTTTTTGTAATGAACAAAGGAGGTAATAAACTGGGTACTCTTTAGCCATATTAAGTATCACTGACATAAATCATAATTGTAGACATGAATTTAAAGTATTAAAAAATCTTCCCACTCTGCAGTCTTGCATGAAATTCAGGTTTTGGTTTCACATGTACTGTGATCTCAGGTTAGCATTTCCTTATAGCTTTTCAACAAATCTTGAAGTAAGTAAAAAGTGTTATAAAATCAAAACAGTTATTTTAAAAAAGGATTTTATTACACAAAACACTAATTAGTCTGTTAAGTAGGGTGAAATATTTCTCATCTCAGAGAACTCATAAGTGTGGGTCATAATTTAATCTCTTATATATATTTTGCTTCTGGTGGGTCCTGCTTCCCTTTTAAAAGTGCCCTCCCCCAAACTCCACATGTTTTATATTAATAGTACTGAGTGAAAAAGAAGCTGTCATGCAGGACGTGTGAGCTCAGCTAAAAGAAAATACTTCACGGGGAGACAACTATTATATTAACCAGTAAAAAGCCATGGGTATGGTGTACGGCTGTCCGTAGGACTTGGACAAAAGAGTTATAAAAGGAATAAATCATCGTAGGGTGCAGGACTGTCTGTAGGCTTATTGTTTAAAGGCCAGCAGGTAGGGTGTAGGACTGTTGTTTAAAGGCCAGCATATATAACTGAAAATGAGAAGTTAAGTATTGTTTGTAACTCATGGACCCAGTGAAAAAGAAGTGCATCAGGATAAGCCCTAGTATTATAGAAAATAAGACTGCTAAGGCATAAGACATCAACAATTTTGAAAACAATTCACAGTAGAAACATAAAATTAAAATTTCCCATTTATTTTAACCATACCTGGGCTTCTTGGCAATATCTTCTCCTCAACAAATTATCACTGCAATTACAAAAAAAAAATGCTTTGAAAATTACTATCTATATAAGTTTAAGAACTATAATTATAATCTTTACTAGCCTACTCTAAGCGCCTAAAGTTAAAGTAAAACGTTAATTAATGGTTTGCGATTTTATTAAAATGCTACATGTAAGTTTACTGTAGGCAGGCAGGAAGTGTAGGTTAAATTTCCTCTCAGATATTCTAATTATTTATTAGAATAATGTCTGCCATTCATCATCACTTATTTTAAAACAACCATTATTATGTTTTAAGTTCAGGCTGATACTATAGTATTAGTGAATTAGTAGGTTTAAGTCTTTAATCTCTTTAACTTTAAGACTTAACTTCACTTAAAAAAGTAAGATGGTTAAGAAGTTAAAATTCATTAAGAATAAGATTAAGTGACAAGCAAGAGTATTAAAAAATATTTATTATAAATTTTTAGGCACTTCAATATCGCTCGGAGACAACGAAAAACGCATATCGTGATTTTGTTATCAAAATGACGACCTCCACTTTTTAATTTACAGAGAGTGAAGTTGTTTAGGATTTTTGGCTAATGATCATTCGAGATGCCACTGTGTTAACATTTGGGAGTCACTTCCCTTTGTTTATTTTTTAGAGAATTATTTTGTTATGTCTTAGTATTGGTACGCTGATGACCTGTTTTGTATTAAAATTTTAATTGGTTGATTAATTATAATTTTAAATTATGATTGGTTGGCTAATTTGCATATTTTATTTGTGCCGCCATCTTTGCTACATTTTGGCCGGGCTTGCCGGTTCTTGTGCTCTATTCATTATCTGGATATTATTTGTGGAACCTGAAATTAAGTGTGTAAATGTGTACCGGTATTTCATGAAACTGTAAGTTGCGTTTTGATTATTTATTTATGTTATAATTATTTTTGCCATTTTTTTTATTCCTTTTTTTTTCATTTTCATAGTTTTCTTTCCACAGTGTGTTAATTCCACCTGTTTTACTTGTGGCTTTAGGGCTAGTTTTAGGGTTCGGGTTAGGTTTAGGGATCGATTTAGGGTTCAGGTTAGGCATAGGGATCGATTTAGGCATAGGGATCGATTTTACCGATTTAGGGTTCGGCTTAGAGGTCGCATTAAAGTTCGGGTTAGGCATAGGGATCGATTTAGGGTTCGGGTTAGGCATAGGGATAGATTTAGGGTTCAGGTTAGGCATAGGGGTCGATTTAGGGTTCGAGATAGATTTTCCAAAAAAATGCTATTTAATTTCTATCATTGCTTAAATTTAAAAAAAATTAAAACATTTTTCCTCCCTCGCCTTCCTTTTTAATAACATGTGTTTTGCACTAATTTTTTTGCCGAAGTCTTGGTTGACACGTCACGTGATTTCATGCGACGTGTCAACCAAGATGGCGGCCACTGATAAAATAGTGGCATTTTCAGTGACCATTTACCGGATTTTTTTGCCAATTATATAATAGCCCAGCATGCACATTCTTAGTCATTCTATTCTATTTCCATCCATATCTTAGAACTTAGAGAGTAGCCTGAGTAGACATTTTCATATTAATTCCTTTTACTTTAGCCTTAGCTCTACTCTAAAAGGAATTTGAGTTTGAGGTCTTAACATTGAATTGACAATTGAAGGTAAAATAGTAATAGTGCTAACTTTACTCATACATTTTTTTTTTCGAATATGTGCCTTCTTTAAATGAAAAGTCTTCCATAGATAAAAGTTTAGGTAATCTACCACTTGAGCGTCGGCCAAGAAAAAATCCAGTTGTTCCGGTTGGAAGGGCTATTTAAACAACTATTCTTATATTATTTTTAATGACATTGGTTGTACGTATTCATTCCCATAATAATAGACAATTTTTTTTAAAATAGAAAAACTATAACAATTTTTTTGAAATAGAAGATAATGTGTGAAAATGGAATTATGCATAGTCTTTATCCCCCAAGTTGACAATGAAGTTTAAAAAAATATAATTTCCACGAAAACGGTTGTGGTACATGAATCCACGTAAATATGAAGGGGAAAGATCACCGGCGCTTCTTGTGCCAAACTGTCTTTTCAGTTTATGCTTTCTGAGCATTCAGACATGTTTTCCACATTCTGTGTGTGGATATCCGCGTCATCTGGATAAAAAAAAAAATAATTGTTGTATCTTTTTCTTCCTGGCATATCGGTAGCTTGGCAGTAATAAGTATTTAAATGTATTAGTATTGTGCTATATAACTTTATAGTTTATAGCCTCTATTCTATACAGTAGTATACAGAAGCAAAAATATTAACAGACTCCAATAATGTAAGAATAGTTATTTATATAGCCCTTCCAACCGGAAAAACTGGATTTTTTCTTGGCCGACGCTCAAGTGGTAGATTACCAAAGTTTAAATTACTGCATTTTCAAAATTATTCATTTTTGTTGTCCATCGCCTCTGCGATGATCTGCCTCTGGCAACCGCCACCGGTGACCGGTCATTGAAAATTGACTAACTTACTTGTGTCGGTTTCTTCCATAGTTCAGCCCATAAGCTGTGACACAAAAGAAAAACGTTGATTTTTTCCAATGAGTTCTCAGTGTCTTAGCAGTTTTTAAAACAAATGCCATTTGATTGGGGGGAAAAACAACAGCTTTAATATTTGGAAATGGCTAAGAGTAAGAGTGACTTATGTGATGGATGCGGCCATTTTGGTTTTTGTAAAATATAAACCTTTTACTTTTATGCACAAAAAAACTTGATGATGAAAGTAATTTTCAGACATTCAACCACACTTATCATTTTGTTTGTTTCTTTCTTTTTTTAAAGGGCAGCGTTAATAAATATTGATCAGGTTCCGCAACGGTTGTCTAAATCTATTTAATTGATTGACGTTGGCACCCCACCCACCTCCATCCCAATTAAAAAAAAATTCACATATAGACCTATATTTATATTCTCTTTCGTGATTATTTTTTTTTTTTATTTTCAAAATAAAACATTTAAAAAATAAAACATTTAAAAAATCTCTTTAACTTTATGGAGTGGCTAAAGGTGCCCGGTTACCTATAGCAGCAATTTGCTATTCGGACCCGGCTGGTCACGTGAGGGCTTTATAATTTGTTATAATATTCGGTTGGTCACGTGACGGTTATGACCGATACTTCCTGTTGGTTGGCCATCTTAGAGCCATTACTATCAATCGAGGAATGTGCCATACTTCGAAGACATTGCAAATCCATCTACATGCATAGGAGCCAAAATGATCAATAAATTGATCGTGGGCCCTTAAGATATAGCAGAAGAAGAAGACCTTCATGAACCGGTAGCGTTGAAGAAACACGAAGAACAATGTGACGTAAAGCTAAAAGCAAGTAAGAATACGTTTATATTTATAATTTTATTGTATTTTTAAATTCTATTTTAAATATAGTTCTATAGGTAATCTACCACTTGAGCGTCGGCCAAGAAAAAATCCAGCACCCACGGCCCGCGTCTTTTCAGTTTTGCTCTAATAAGCCACATTCTTTGTGCACTGTAAATAGGTAGTTCGGTAAGATTCGGGAAGTGCCGAAAACCGGGTATCGTGATTTCGTTGTCAAAATGGCGACCTCCACTTTTTAATTTACCGAGGGTCACGTTGTTTACGACTTTTTAACTTTATATAGCCCAGCCCAGCATGTTAATTCTATTTCCACCCACAACTTAGAGTAGACATGTTGTGTTATGATTAGACACTTAAGTCCCCCAAAAAATTTTGGGGCTTCACTTTGAAAATTGAAGGTAAAATAACGCAATTTTTACTCATTCATATTTTTTGTGTGGAAAGGATCCTTTCTTTGAATTTCAGGTACTTTATTAGTCACTTCGATGAGATCCGGGAATTGCCGAAAACCGGGTATCGTGATTTCGTTATCAAAATGGCGACCTCTACTTTTTAATTTACCGAGACCCTCCTTGTTTACGATTTTTTTGCTAATTATAGCCCAGCATGAACATTCTATTTCCGCCCACAACTTTGAGTAGACATGTTGTTTTATGATTAGACACTTTTGTTCTAAAAAATATTTGAGGTCTTAACTTTGAAAAATGAAGGTAAAAATAATGCTTATTTTACTCATTCATATTTTTTTCTGGAAAGGGTGTCTTTCTTAAATAAAAAGACGACTGGAGATAATAGCATAAATTACAACACATCAAAAATTCAAGAGGTTAGCACCCAATTCAATGGTCTAAAAATGCCTACCAAATTTTTGTCCCGTGTGTCCCAAAATGACCTATTATGATATTATCGATAACGATTTTTAATAATAAAAAAAAAGTATCAATGGAAATCCAGCTTATTACTCCAAAATAACTCATACAAAAACAAATAATTTAATAACACAGATACCTATCTAAACAACATAAATATATTTTTTTAACTTGTTTTAATGCTTTTATTGAAGGGTATTGACTTGGGTAGTGGGTTAAACTGAATTATTATTAGCCTCATTTTTATTATAATTAATATATTTAATATAAAAGTTTAATATATATACAGGCCTAGAAAAGTATAGTATTTTAAGAATAGGCCTAGCTCCTGCCCAACTCATTATTTGTGTGACACATTATTTGTTATTTGTAATGATATTTTAATGAATATTATGATTCTTAATGAATAGATTAAGCAAAAATGTAAACAAAAAAATAGTCACTTACCTTTCATATTGAAATATCCTATATTTAATCACATATCACAATATTTCACAAGAGAATTATTACATAATCCTTGTATTCTCAAAGAAAAAACACACTTTCTGCCACAATAGTCCAAGAATTACTTAAGACATTATTAATAATATTAAAGAACAATCATAAAAACTTATACTTATCACAAGCACATTACTAGAACTTATTTTAGTTTGTATAAACCACCAAAGTTGATTCTAACAATAAATGTTGATCTGTGAAACAACTTTACTAACTTAAAATAAATGACTTACTGACTTACTATTTTTTGTCATATTCACACATTCATATGGTATGGGACTAAAATACATTATATAGAAAATGGTAAAATACAAATTGTAATAGTCAATTTTATTTATTGAAACAAATAATCTCTTTATTATTAGTATATACTTATTAATTTTAAACAGTTCCACAGAAAATTTGAAATTAATATCTTATGGATGTTTTATTATTATTATGATTTTTGGGAAATTGAAAAAAAATATTTAAACATAATTAATTAATTAGTTTCAAATAAGTGACGCGTCAGGATATTTTATATATTTTTAATAGGAAAATAATAAAGATTTTTAAAATAATTTTTGCGGAATATTAACAAAAACTAACTTATATTTTGTGGCTTTATTTAGAAGTACTCTAATTAAAATATGTTCACTGTAAAAATTATATTGTGTCATTTTATAAAAAAGTTATATGCCTTTAAAAAAAATCAAAATGAGGGTCACGAAATGTGGAGGAAAATCCCATAGTAAAAAAGTGCCTTTGAGGTCCCTTCTAAAAAATTAATAACTTTTGAACCACTTGAGCTAGAAAGTTGATCTTGGTGTTTTTGTAATCTATTCTCCAGGCTCTATACAGCTGTAGTATTTTTATATTTTTTAAAATGTTTTGAAATTTTAATCACAGTGCCTACTGTAAAATAGCACTTTTTAAACAATCTAATCGATTTTTGAAACCTTATACTTATACAAGAAGACATACCTCATTAACTTCACTTGACTCTATCAAAACAATATTTAATTGATACAGCATAGACACTGCACAAAACCAACTGCTACTCTACTTTAATAAGAACATAGTACCAAGTAATAGGCTCTTGGCTAAAATTTTCAAAATGAATTTATAGCTTTAAGAGCTAGTTGGTTAGATAGGGCCTGAAAAATGCAATTCATTGATACTAAATTTATGTTAGTAGGTCAATTCTAAAGAAAGTTATGATTTTTTTCGTGAATTATTTTGGGATAACTCTGTTAATTGAGACATTTCGGAAAATATAAAAGTGACTAAAATAAAAATTGGGCAGAAAGTTAGGAGAGATGTTAAAAAAGAGCAGTAAATTGAAGTTATTTAATGAAGAAAACCATAACAAACCATATATATCTGTGATCCTCGTAACATTATCCAAACAGTAGTAGGTTGGAGAACTAGTGAAAAATACCAACTTAATTATAAATGGCTTGCATTAAGTCCATTGATTTTTTAACACTACAGGTTGCAGCAGGACACAGTCTGGGAGCCTCTGTCCTAGTCAATTACATGCCATAATAAACATATATCTTTAGATTTTCTCTTAACACCTAGCATCATCCTAATCCCCCTTCCAATAATAAATATTAGTATCTTGATCCTTTGAATGCACTTATATAAAGATAAATCCCGCAAGTGCATGTAAAAAATATCAAAAGACTGTATTGGAATGGCTAGTTTCACTGATTAGGTTAGGGTAAAGTCTTGCACATTCCTAATTTAGTTAAAATTAGATAGAAATTCCTAAAAAATCTAAATTTCCTTCTGACATCACATATTGAGTGCATTTTTGCTGTAAAAGAAATGATTAAAAAATTTAAAAGCTATTTAGATGGATTGCTTCTTATATTTAAATTCATCAGTCGCTATAGCTTATATTTTTTTGATTAAAATCATAGTAGTAATAATCAAGAGATACATCTTGCAGGTTAGAATTATATTACCATTGATCTATGACAAAAAAATCTTATTTAAATTTTTAAATATTCACTACTGTAATGCAGTTGTAGTTAAAATCTTGCACTGAGCTTGGCGTGACCATTTTGAAGGTTTTCTTTTGTTCATTTAACACCACCTCCCTAATTCCAATAGTGTTTGGACTTTAACTATTTAATAGATTAAATAAACAAAGCTATTCAACTTTCCCTTAGAGAACCAGGAATTTTTTGTCGAAACAATCATGCAAACATGGCTGGTGTAAAAGCAATGATTACACCAAGTGTGTGATTAATTTTTTTGGTACTTTTTATGATGGTAACTTTCAGGTTAAAATTGTTCATAGGATATTGTCTTCATATTAATGCAAGCTTGCGCTCTAATATAATAAAGTTCCTGTCTTCTACTAATTAATGTATTATTTTACTTCCAGGTTAAAGTTGTTGTTTTCACAGAGATCACTTGAAGACCCCCATCACTGCCAGAATTCACAGCTGCTCTTATGATGAATGTGCAGGATGAATCATGACATGCCAGGACAATGACTGGTCAACATTTTACTTCAGGTAAATCCAGTCCTTTTTATTCTATTTATTTTTCATTACCTATGCCACTAATTTAAAAAAAAATATTTTTGGTTTTATTTTTTTACATTTTAACTTGATGCTTGATTTATCACACTGGGTAATAATCTTGAGGTAACTTGCCATTATTGGGATCTTGGAAATTTATTCCCAATGGATCATAAGCCAACCACAATCTTAGTTTTGGCCAGGAAAACCCTGAAAAGTGTGTAATCTGCTTATTAGTGTACTCTCAGTTTTGGCTGGGAAATTATTTGAAAGGTTTTCTTCGAAACCTTAAAAATAATTGCTTATTAAAAAGACTTAAAACTATTAAATAGGGGTGTGCCGGATCCGTTTTTTCCAACCGGATCCGGATCCGGATTTTCTTATGCGAAATCCGCCGGATCCGGATTCCGGTTTCTCCCGGATTCCGGATTTTGGTACTATTGGTAGATACTTCGGTAAGTCAAGGTGGACTACTACTTTTTGTGTATGGGAATTCGCAATCGGCGCCAAAAAATCTGAGTTTTTAA